TGTTAAAAAAAATATCCTATTTAAAGAAAATGCAAATATGTATTTATTTAATTATTAGTATTAATTAAATATAGTTTCAATCAATATAATAAGTAATATGGAGTTCTAAACTTTTTAGGAGAAGAACTTCGTATTATATATACGTATATTACCTTTCAAATTTACATGTGGTGATAACGGGGTGAAAAGTATGGTTTATTGTTTGGAAGGTGTATGAATATCTGTTTGGATGGAATAACATGAAAAAAGAAATTATGTGGGTGATAGATCTTCCTGGTCGTGGATCTGGGAACAAACGAGAAGGAATACGAACGGTTGGCGTTGCCGCTCTTTCCAGCAGACAGAGTAACGAGATGATGAGTGTTGGTTCGGGGTTCGACCTAACAACACCATGAATCATTGAAGGATTCAGATGCTCGATTGTGCCCTAGCGCTATTTTCCGGACATGTGTTTGCTTCCTAACACGTGTTTGCTATTTTCCTATACGGTGCTGAATGTTGGCCTACAAAAAGGCAACAAGTCCATCAACTAAGTGTAGCAGAGATGCAAATGTTGCGTTGGTTTTGCGGGTACACAAGAAGGGATAGAATCCGAAATGAGGATATTCGAGATAGGGTCGGGGGTGGCTCCAATTGAGGAGAAATTGGTTCAACATCGGCTGAGGTGGTTCGGACATGTCCAACGGAGGCCTCCTGATGCACCGGTGCGTGGGGGAGTTCTACAGCGGGCCGATGTTGTTAAGAGAGGTAGAGGCCGACCTAAACTCACTTGGTAAGAATTGGTTCAGAGAGACCTTAAAAATTGGAATATCTCCAAAGATTTAGCGATTGATAGGAGCGCTTGGAGGCTAGCGATCAACATGCCGGAACCGTGACTTTTGCTCCTTTCTCCTTTGCTCCAATCTCCTTTTTTTTATTTTACCACTGTTTCTATTGAATTTCATCTCTAGCCTACCCCAACTTGCTTAGAACTAAAAGGTTTTGTTGTTGTTGTTGTGTTTGCTTCAACTGGGCCATAGAGTCGATGGTTGTGAGGTTAGGTAGCAGTTTGAAGTAATTTGCGTCTTGCCAACAAGAATGAAGAATTTGGGAGTCTTGCAAATTCCTAGGGGAGAACTGAAAATTAAGGGTTTGAAGCTGACGAATTGTCGTACTCTAATCGTCACCCTCTTGTGCTTACGCCGACTAGTCACGACGACGTAGTTGCATTTGCTTATCGAGTGTGTCAATTATTAGTTGCTAGGGATTGTTCTTCGACCTTGGGGAGCGCCACGACGTAGCTCCCAACGGCAAGCTATAGTGCGTTTGCTTGTCGAGTGTGTCAATTATTAGTTGCTAGGGATTGTTCTTCGACCTTGGGGAGCGACGGGCAGACAGCAAAGGTTATGCTGTCATTCTAGTGGCGGCAACGGTCGTCTCACAATTCTTCTTTGCTCAAGTAGTTGATGAGCGGATCCAAGTTCACCCTAGGTTTTTGGAAAAAGAGGGCACAAACAGTGACTGTTATGTGGAGCTTGAGATGGGTTCATGGGCTCATGGGCTGCATATTATTGTATGGTTACTTAATTTTTTTATGGGCCTCATGAAATTTTTTTATGATGAATGTTGGGCCTATATGATGGGTCAAATGTAAAATAAAAATAAGGCATAGGATGTCAGCTTCGATATTTACCAAACGATATAGATTTCACACCGAAACAACACTGACACAAGTTTACTAATTACCGGTTTTCGATAACAAAAAATATTAGTTCGACTCAATTTGCTTCATTTTTTTTCTCACGGTTCGAATTTCGAATAACAAATGTCATACCACAACCATTCATAGCTAATCTAATCCTTTTGCCTTTGATTTTGTTTAATTAAGTGGTGTCTCGCATTTAATCTCTTTCATGGAGTTTGGATCGTTTATGTATCAATTGACACCCCTAATTTTATTCTTTTGAATTTTTCAGTTTTTAATATAAGTGTCATTGCGACGAAAAAAAAAAAAAATCAATTCTATTCATTAAATTGAAAATATGATAAGATTAATTGCGTAAAATAGGAATGAAAAGTTGAAAGTAAATAATTATAGATTTTCTAATGGAAACAAAAAAAATAATAATAAACAATTTTTCTTAATTATAACGTTTTCATTAAATAACCCCAAATGATATTATTATTCAACATTACTAGCCCAATAAAGAAAGCGCACATTACCATCGTCTTTAGTTTTTCCTAAAGACTGCAATTATACCTTCCCCAATGTTCCGTTGCAAAACATCAAGCAAAATTTCGATTTAAATGTTATAATACAGTAATTTGTTTGATATTTTTTTAATATATAAATTATCAAAAAAAACATAATTATTCATACAATCTCATTTTTCAAGAATAAAAATAGCGAATAATACTAACAATATATATATATAATTCAAGCAAATAGTACAGTCCTGTTATTGAACCGTTCCATCAGAATTTGTAACCGTAGATAGTTGATCTAACGGTAACAAATCCGACGCCATAGAATCGAAAACTCCAACAAAAATGAAGAAACATCGGAACAACAAAAGAATATGAGAAGTTCGGTAAGCAGATATGTCGACGATTATTGAGGATTCAGAAAAAAAATCCAGAGAAAAAAACAACAACCGGCCAGATAACTTCTCCTTTCAATTAATTTCGCTACAAACAAAATCAAGGTAAAAGGGTACTAAATCAACCCTTACTTGGAGTACATATGTAGCATTATTCTCCACCATTAAAATGAAAATCAGTGATAAAATTGAAATCAAAATTGAAGAACAGAGCTTTATTATGAACTAAAAGTGGCGCTTTTATGATGGTATTGAGCAAATGAAAGACCACTGCTCGTGGAGTATAAATAGTCCCAAGAAGTTGTATTGGGCTGGGCTTTGTTGATGGCACGATTCTTAAACCCTAATTTTGTGTCGGATTACCAAAATGACCCCAACAGGTTCTCTTAGGATACTTGCGAAGATGCGGCTCGGTGGCCGGGCGGCCGGCTAGAGTCGAACCGATAATGTGATGAGGTTTGTTATGAAATCGTTTTAATTTGATTTTGATTTTCGGCCCAATTGATTTTTTTCAATTCTTTTTCATTTGTTTTTTTTTTTCAAAACGATAGGAATTTATAAATGAATACACATAGTTACATCTAAAAAATTTCTCGAAGCCGAATATAGTTGGAGAATGTTTTTTTTTTACGGGAGTCTAAACTATTCACAATGCACCCACAATAATACATAACTCCGAATAAGAGAATACAAACCCAAAGAGATAATAACATAAAAAAAAACATAGAAAGAGAAAAACAACACTTGACACACACAAAAAACAAACTAAATACAATAGATTAAAGACCTTCCCATAGCTAGAAAAAAAGAAACTCACCAACGAACCACAACCAGTATAAGGTAATTGTCTACCGATTAGACCACCTTTATTGGTGATGGTGACCATCAACTTAGGTCACCAACTAAAAGCCCAAAATAAAAAAGAAAAATCATGCATTTGGACGACTCAAGTCACAATGTGACCATGGGTTGTAAACTTGGGTCGTGAGTGGGAATAGGACACTTGTTCTAAGAAGTCTTGCGGACGCAGACTTGCAAGACTGGGGGCACAAATGTAGCATTTACAAAGTGCCAAAAAAAAAAAAGGATATTTATTCTCTGCATTTCTTATATATTATATTACTCACAATTACATAAATTCAAATCTCATTAAATAATTTATTTTCAAATACCAATATTTTTTTTGATTTTGCATTGGATATTCTTACAACGTCAGCATTCGTAGACTTCTTTATAATAAAGATAACTATTTTATTTGTTAAAAAACCAGTGACAAACACAATTTAGTAGCTAATTTTAAACATATTTTATAACTTAAGAACACCTAAAATTCAATATGTATCAAGATCAATGTTGACTTTTGTGAAAAAATTGATGTAACTATATTTATATATGTTGTCTACAACATAATACAAATACATAATACAAACAACTTAAATTTTAAGAAAAAAAAATTATGATTATTTTACATTATAATTATATATGTACTAATTTTCCTCAAAAATTGCACAGGGGCCCATGCCCCTACGGGCCCCCGCCTAGGTCTGCCCCTGTTAGATGACAGACCGTGTATCTTGTTTATTTATTGTCTGCTTGTTGACGCGGTCTTGGTTGTCTCAAACTCAACCAGTCTCGGTTGAACAAGCATTTAATGAGGGATGCTACACTCGACTCGTGTAGATCAAGATTGACATCGTGGAACATGGGTAATGGCAATAGTAATAATAATAATAGGGGCAGCAATAATGAAAACAATGGGAATGCCGACTCAAAGGTTTCAGACGAGGACGAGCTTCTGAGGAGGAAAGTCGAGTATATCCCGGCAATTTTCACCCAATTTTCACCAATTTGGTCGGCCGGGTTGATATGGCTGCTCGTATTTGCATATTTTCCAACAGCTATTACATTGTTTGGCATGAGTTCTATATTTGAGAAGGAGACATTTATTTGCTATTAAGAAAGCAACAGCTATAAGGGATGGAAATGATTGCATGTTTGAGAATTTATGCATAATTCCGTTTTAAGTAACTCAGTAATTCAAATTTTGTTTATTCCGCGTGGGGAGATGATTTGATAGATTGATGTGGTTGAAGAACTTAAGAATGTGGCTTCAGAACAGACTGAGGATGAAGCTAAGCCGAATTAAATAGAAGAAAACACAGATGCGGAGACCTCCAAAATCGAGATCAACCAGTCATCTCTTCATGCATGTACTATGTTTAACATAATAGGACCGAAATCCAGATTCTTAAGGTCATCAATATTATTCAAAATCGAAGTCTTCAGAAGGGTACAGGAACAATGGCGAATCATTAAAATCGATAAAGCCCTATCTTAGGGCAGCTTCAAATAAAAGCTAACCAAGCAAAAACCGAGTTGATGGCCACAAGAGATAAGACAGGCAAAAGGAGATTTTCATCATCATTCTTTGGCAACAGCTTGCTCCTCACTGAAATAGTCGTGTCTGTTACCAACATTTTAAAAAAAAAAAGATGAGAGAATTGTTCCACAGAGACACTTTAATTGACAAAATATGGAAACATATCATTATTATACAAACTCACTGACCGGATTTTGCGAGTAAGCTGGTAAATTCCTGTACCGGCCATAACAATGTTTACACTGAATAGATTCCAGTTCTTCTGTGGTCCGTAGAATGTATGGCCAAGTTAAAATAAAACTATGTTAGAAGGTCCAACATCATCAAACCAAGCTGCCAAGGGCTTATCGGTGCAAACATAAATAAATATGACCTTAAGCTTCTAAAAACCGAATTTGACAAAAAAAAACATAATAGAAAAACTGTATCCAATTAGATTTTTTTTTTTTTTTTCTCAACATTGTTGTGTTTTCTTAATCGTCATCTAGAAACAAATTTTGAGAGTTTAAAGGCAGAAGTCATGCAGTAAAATTCTTGGAATTGAGAATATATGTTGCAAGAAAACTCCACACACACTCACACACACACAAAAAGGCACACACAGCGAGAGGGAAGAAATCGAACATTTAGTGTCCAGTCTTGGCATATTATGTCAACAAATGAACTTACAGGATTAATTACGGTGCTGTAGCGTGACCAGATAACTCCAGTTGCTGTAACCGCTGGAGGCAAAAAACATATATAGGTATATAAATACAATCAGTGCCCAAAAGAGACTGCTTTGCCTATTCTTGGGAATAAAAAAAAAACAGAGAGAGAGAGAGAGAGAGAGAGAAGGAAAGAAAAACATAAATCTTTGCTGATGATGATGGATTTCAATATGACAAACTTAAATTGTTAACACCATGTCAACAAAAGTAGTATTATATGCAATTTGTGTCACATTACAACACCATTGAAAGAGAAACCCGAACCATCACCATAAGAATTCATCAAGCACAACTAACCAATCTGCTGCGGATAAGAAACTTTCTCCGGGGGCTTGGCTGAGTCGGCAAGATTAGCTATGCTAATGCCCCACTTGAACGTAGGTGCCCAGAAATGAACTGCAACACACGAATAACATATAAGCACGACGCATCAACTTGTACAAGTCGTAACAACAAATTACCAAGGCTATAAACAAAAAGTCAAAAACCACCCCCCTTCTTTTGCAACCCAAGTAAAATAACTAGTTTTAAATCGAATAATAAAAGGCAGCTATAAATCCAAAGACGCTCAAGTTCATCATTTCGAACCATTGTGATTTATCATTGAATATAAGTTCTTTATTTATCTCCCATCTCAGTAACAATTGGAAGCAGAAGCAATTCAGTAATTCAATGCAACTGACCACATTTTCATCAACCCCTAATAATCACAGCTAGGGGTGAGCTTCGGTGCGGTTCGATCAAAAACCACACCGCACCGAAAAAAATCGATTGAGAAGCGGCTCGGTTTTGCGCACCCCTAATCGCAGCTTCCCAGAATCAGACAACTACCAACCATTGTAAAAAAAAAAAAAGAAAAACCTAGAATACAAACAATTCCCAAGATGCAATTTTTACAACATCAACTTACAATCTGAATGACGCAAAAAAACACCCAATAAATAAAAGAAACCTGCGAATTCATTACGGTGGAATACAGATATATGATTGGACAACAAAATAGGATCTGTTTGAAAATAAATGATTACAACATCTGCCATGACATTAATCCTAAGAATAAGGAAAAGAGAAACAGGTAAAAACCTAGGCGAATAAAGGGAGAATGAAGAACAACTGACTTGTTTTAGGGCCAGCAGGGTGATTCCATAGGGCCTGTAGCTTCGATGTCGCCATTGGTCCTCTCCTTCTCTCTCTCTCTCTCTCTCTCTCTCTCTCTCTCTCTCTCTCGTTGTTGATTTGTGATTAGGTGTGTTGATTTTGGTGCTGCCGATGAGTTGACGAAATTGACCACGGCGCCTTTTCTCCTAACTTGTATTCTCCTACACGGGCGAGATCAATGTAGTCACACTAAGGACATCGTATGGTCCCGTCACGGGATTATTTCGTTGGAATTTATAAACGTTAGATTATATAGTTGATCTAACGGTTATAAACCTCGATAAAATAATACTGTAACGAGATCGTAACATCTTCCCGTACTAAGAATCAAATAAAATTTAAATTCAATAGTATAAAAAAAAATTATATATATAATCAATTATATATCTAATGGCCGGTTCATTTGTATAACAACAGATTTATCGTATGGTATATTTCATATTAAATTAATACACTATAATTTAATTTGTAATGTTTTACATTTAAAATATATGTAGTTTTATATGTATCAATAATATTTTTAGCTGAAGTGTTAGGATTTAAAAAATAAAATAAAAAATGCATTCAACCAAAGTTATACGTGATATTTAAGTTTTTCTTTTGGTTTTCAAAAGCATTTAAGGAAAAAAAAAAAAAAAACTTGGACTATTAAAATAGATTATGGTTTCACATTATCATATATGTACCTTTATAAAAATTAAGGTATAAAATCTCCAAAATAAAAACTAATAAAATATTAATGGTTAATTAAATTTATCTGTATTATATATTATATGATATGAATTGAAAATTTTTATTATAAAATAGGAGGAGAAAGTGTTAGCATAATTTTAAAGAAAAGCAAAGAGTAATTTTTTTTTTAAAGTATTTCAAAATTTAAATAAAAGCTTCAATTTATTTTTATGTATTTAAGTATAAAATTTTCAATTTACGTGTTAAGTAATTATCAGCCAAGCCAAGGCGAGAGAGCACAGGGGCTAAACCGTAATAACACTGCAAGTAACAATTCACAATTGGGCCTTCCCCACGGCCGGCCGAACAGAAGCTACTCAAGCTCAACCGCCATAGCCGCCGCCATGGATCCTCACAGCCAGACCACTTCACTACAACGACTCCAAAACGTCGAGAAGGTAATTTTCGTAACACATCTCCGTCGACATCACATCGCACAAACACACCATGAGTTTTGAATTTTGTTTTCACAGAGAATCGTGAGGGTTTTGGAGCTTGCCGGCGGAGTAATGGAGGAAATGGCCAGTCCCGGTGGCCCCAGAAAGGAGTTAGTTAACAGCAATTGCACTGAGTTCATGCAATTAGTCAAGGTATCCTCTCATGTCCTCTTCTTTACTCTTTTGTCTGTTTTTAGCTAATGATGAAGGGGAAAAAATTAGGAGTTTTGAGTTTGTGCAGTTTATGATCTTCGATCTTAATGAGTAATGTTAAAATCAGTATCATTTTTTTTTTCCTTACCTGCCTTTTTTTTTTGCTTCAATTTGTTTGATTAGGATTTTCAGATGACGCTGAGGGAGGAAATTAAGAGTGCTTGCGAATACCGTCCGTTTGAGAAGTGTGACTATGTTCCGAGAATATCGAACGAGATTTGTTGCAAGAAATTGGAATATGTCATATCCCAGCTTGATGAGATGAAGCAAACAATTGAGGGGTATGTATGATGATGCTGTTTGAGCTTTGTGATTTGGTGAAAGTTGAAACTGTAAGTATCTAGCTCGATTTCATTATATTCGATATGGCAATTAGAACAGCTATTATTTTATCGAACCAGCATTATTGAAAATATTGGAGCAATGTGATTGGATATGATGCTCGAATTGCAAATGCACGTGTAAAGATATTGTTTTGGAGTTGATTGAGATGAGAACTGTTTCATGCAGAAGAAAATTTATGAGTTCAATCCTTCTAGTGTTCTCATTTTCTTCCGCAATTTAAAACTTCCATTGAGTTTGTCGCATCTCTGTTCATGTTCTTAGCACATGCATTATCACATGCTAAGCTAGTATCATCGAATGCTGGATTTATCTTCTTGTTATAGTTTTTTATATCTATGAATATTTGGAGGTTGGATGAAGTTGTTGGAGTCGGAGCTTGAGCTCTTCATAGGTGTTGAGTGAATTTGTTGTTTTGCTGTATCACGCCTTTTGTTCAATGGCCTTTTTTTTTAAAAAAAAAAAATTCTGTGAATTGGTAATACTAATGCACAACAGGTTGATTTACTTGTGGACATTTATACAGCTCGTTTGCATATAAATTGTTTTCATCTTCAGTTCATGTCTTTATATTGCAGTTTACAAGGGTGTATCCGTTGTTTTGTGAAAATTAAGAATATGTTTCGACAAATGATTTTTTATGAAATATGTTTTCTTATGTTTTTGTCATTTTTAACAGCCACTTAACGGCCACTTGACGGTCTGATACCAAATCCGCTAGTTGTTTTATAGTGTGAGTACTGAAAGTTGGATAGAGTGAACGTGAGATACTGACCCTGAAATTACCCCTTAGTTTGGGTACTGAAATCGCTATTTTCCCTATAACATATAAGTTCCGGTGAATAGTAGGTTGTATATATAACAAACGGAAAATGCTAAGGTCCCGTTATGGAACCATTCCGTCGGTGTTTGTAACCGTTAGATCATCATGTAACCGTCAGAGATAGTTGATCTAACAGTTACAAACCCCGACGGAATGGTTCTGTAACGGGACCGT